CAGCCACAGCTTCCCTGGGCAACCTGGGCCAGTGTCTCTGGAGAGCATCTTCGTGGCTTTCTTTGGATCTGGTCTAACAGGTCCTTCTCTGTGGGGCTGCTCTTAGTCCCCCAGTTTGTGATACTGGGAAATGCCCCAGCCCAGGTGTAGGACCTTCCATTTGGCCTCATTGAACTTGAGGAGCTTCACCTTGGCCCACCAAGAAGTCCCTTTGGCCTGTTGAGGACCTTCTGGGTGACATCCCTTCCCTTTCCCACCAGCTCAGGTTGGTGTCACCACAAGTGTGGTGGTATTAAACATCACTGGTCCCAGTATGGACCCTTGAGGGCCTTCACTCCTTACTGGTTTCCACCTGGATCTTCAGATGTTGACTGAAACTCTTGACCCGTGGTTCTTTGGGCAGTTCCTTGTCTGTTGAACGTGGCTGCTGGAAGTTGTCTGCAGATCCTCAGTTGTCCTCTGCCTGTCCCATGTCTGCTTTGGAGGATTAACCCTCTGCTGCCTCAACTTCTCCATGCCAAATCCCTGCCAGGTGCCTCCACCATCCCATGTCCTACCTGAACTTCTTGCCGTTACAACCCCCCTGTCCTTCCCTGTCCCTGTGTCCTCGCTGGAAAACAAGGTGGGTGGTGGCCATGGATCCCACCACAGGCTGGTGCTTTGCTTGTCCCCTGGCTGCTGGGGTGGCTTTGTCCCCATCTGGGAGTGGTGACAATGGTTGATTCCTTTTCACTGCCTCGTCCCTGTAACAAGTTTGTCCATCTCCACAACCACCCGTTGACTTTAAAGCCTTATCTCCTGGTGCAGGCCTTATCTCCTGGTGGGTCCTGCTGTTACTTCCCCAACACAAGGTGGGTGGGGAAGGACCATGTTGCATCTGGAGAGTTTTTCATCTCTTGGTTCCTTTGCTGTGGTCATGGGGGCGTGGATCTGGGTGATTAAATCAAGGAGCTGATGTCCAAAAAGTAGTGAGGGAGATGGAGAACGTCCCCACTGGGCCTCCCACCTGGCTCTGGGTGGGTGGTGGGGCCAGTTGGGGTGCTGGGGTGCTT